AACTAATTAAGTCCTTTTCAAAACATCATTAGTGAGCACTTCAGAAAATCTGAGTATTTAGGAGGAAGTGGCTTATTAGCTTCTGTCTTTTAATGAGAACAGAACACTCCAAACATTTTATTAAAAAGATGTTCCTGAACAGATGATTAAAAGGCATAACTAAGACTTTTAAAATCCCATTCTGCCACATATATTTTTCGCCCTCCCTTAGTCCTTTGCTCCCACCTTTGTTCATTTTTAAATCATCTTGTGTCCTATAGCCAAAAATTCCACTTGATCATGGTGTATGATCTTTTGAATGTATTGCTGGATCCTGTTTGCTAATATCTTGTTGTGGATTTTAGCATCTATGTTCACCAGGGATATTGGCATATAATCTTATTTCTTTATAAATTTCTTATCTGTTTTTGGATTTAGAATAATGCTGGCCTTATAAAAAAAGCTTGGAAGTCATCCCTCTTCTTGAATTTTTTGAAATAATTTGAATAGGATAAGTGTTAGTTCTCTTCTTCCTGGCACAGCTTTGGAAGATATTTACGTGTTCCTAGGAATTTGTCCATTTCCTGATTGTCCAATTTGTTGGCATATAGTTGTTCATAACATTTTCTTAAAATCCTTTGTATTTCTGTGGAGTCAGTTGCTCATTCTGATTTTATTTATTTCCATTCTCTATTTTTTCTTGGTGAGGCTGGTTAAAAATTTGTCAATTTTTGTAATTTTTTTTTCAGAGAATCAGCTCTTGATTTAATTGTTCTTTTGCATAATTGCTTTTTACTCTATTTCATTTCTGCTCTGATGTTTATTATTTCTTTTCTACTCACTGTGGGCTTTGTTTTTCTTTTTCTAGTTCCTTTACATGTAAAGTTATATTGTTTAGTTGTGATTTTTCTTGCTCTTGAGATGGATCTTTAGTGCTATGGATTTCCCTCTTAGGACTACTTTCACTGTGTCTCATAGATTTTTGGTTGTTATGTTCTCATTTCATTTGTTTCAAGGCGTCATCTGATTTCTCTTTTGATCTTATTGTTAATCTATTCATTGTTTAATAACATGTCATTTGCTTCCATGTTTTTTGTGTTTTTTAATTTTCATCTTGTGATTAACTTCTAGACATAACATTATGACTAGAGCAATGCATAACATAATTTCAATCCTCTTAAATTTATTAAGATTTGTGTCCTAATGTGGTCTACCCTAGAAAATGTTTCATGTGCATTTAAAAAGAACGTATATTCTGCTGCTTTGCTGTGAAATGCTCTGAATATATCAATTAATCTGATCTAGTGTGCCTTCTAAAGCCTCTGTTTTCTTACTGATTTTCTGCCTGGAAGGTCTATCAATTAATGTCAATGGTGTATTAAAATCTTCTACTATGACTATATTACTGTTAACCTTTCCCTTTCCATTCATTAAGATTTGCTTTACATATTTAGGTGCTCCTATGTTGGATGCATAAATGTTTACAAGGTTTCATGTTGTCCCAAAGATCCCTTAACCATCCTCACTTTTTGAAATTCTGTTTTCATTCCGTGCTATGATTGGGTGTTTTCTGCTCCCTTATCTGCCAAATCATCGATTCAGTCCTGTGCTTCTTTGCACCTACTGTTTATTCCTTCTAATATATTCTTATCTCAGATATTGTGTTCTGCATTTCTAACTCATTCTATATTTTATGATTTCTATGTCCTTTTTATACTTATCTTTTGAAGTTCTCACTAAAATCCTTGAGCACATTATAATCATTTTTTGAACTCTGATAAATTGCTTTTCTCCATTTCATTTGGCTCTTTTTCTACAGACCTCTCCCCTTTTTTATTCATTTAAGACATGTTTTCTTATCTCTCCATTTTGGCTGACTTGCTGTGTTTATTTCTATGTACTAGGCAGATTTGTTCTTACTCCCACTCTTGGTAAAGTGGCCTAATAGAGTTGGTGTCCTGCAGGACCCAGTGGTACAGTCTCCTTGATCACCTAAGCTGGGTGCTCCACGAATGTCCCTTGTGTAGGTTATGTGGGCCCTCCTCTTGTAATTGGGGTTGGTTGCTATTGATCCATTTGTGTGTTGGGTCAACACTCAGGCTGGCTGACTGTGAGTATCAAACCCAATCACATGTATGAGCTGCTATGCAGATGCTGACCATATGAAGCAGAATTTGCCTTGGCAAGTTCTGGTGCCTGCCAAGATCTTCCTTTGGATATGCTGTTCATGAAGCTTATTGGATCCTATTTGGATTATGTATGAAGCTGATCACTGGGTGTGTTGGTTGGAAGGCCTATTGGGAGATACTCTGGTGCAGTCCAATATCAAATGCTGCCTGTGACTGGCCCTAGACAACATGTTTAAAGGCACAAAGTGATCCTCAGTTTGTGGTTCCCTGTGCTGGGACTGGGAGTGTGCAGGAATTACTAAGCTCTGCATCAAGGCTGGCTTTAACCAGCCCCAGTTCCAGGGGCAGGTCAGCAAAAGTCTTAAAGTACCTTGAGATCAGCCTTCACCTGCCTCTGCCTGCCAGCTGCCTGATAGGCTGTCATTGAAAAAGCCTCTGGCAATACTCATGTTCCATGAGATAGGATCTCAGTGAGTCCCCAGGTAGAGAAGGGTGAGTGGTGTTCATCAGATTGATGTAGGTTCAAACTCAGTACCAGTGCTTGGTCTGAGGCCACTCAGTAAATATCCCAAGGTACACCACATTTAGCTGCCACCTGCTGGGCGCTTCCAGAATATTGTGATGCAGCGGGGTCCTAGGTAGTCATCTGGGTGAGGCCAGCAGAGTTCATCATGCTTGGATAGACCAGGATTTGGCCACAACAAAGGATGGCTCTGTATCAGTTGGGCATGCAAGGGAAAAGTGTCCCCTGTCCTACTGCCACACTACTTAGTCTGTCCAAGATTCTGCCAGGAGCCTGAGATTAAAAGGACAGGGTTGTGGGGAATTGGGATGGTCAGGGTAGTAGATCTCTCATGAGTGGAAGGTGCTGGTTAGGCTTGGGGGAAGGTGGGCAGAGTGGCCTCTGCCTCAGAGCCACAACTCAGTCTGTCCCAAATTCTGCTGAGATCTGGACAGTGTGGGCCACCTGGAGTCAAGAAGACAGGGTCATGGAGAACACTAAGGGTGAAGTTAGAGAATCTCTCATGAAGAGGAAGTGCCAAGAGTGTGGGGGAGATGACCCCTACCCCAAAGCAACAAAACTTAGTCACTGACACTCCCGAGTCTGCCATGACCTCCTCACCCCGGCCCATGACAACTCAGCAGGGCATGAGCTCCACAGGACGGGGTGACAGAGAGTTCATAGGTTGGGTCTATCACGTTTTCCTAGGTGGAAGGCCGTGGTTAACCTAAGAAAGATGGCATCTGTGTTGTGGGACAGTGACTCAGCACAGAGGTGCTGGTGACTCTTCCCTCATGTCTCTCCCCAAAGCCACAAACCCTAGTCTGTTCTCACCCACCCCCAGTTCATCTCTGCCCTCCTTCCACAGGAGTCCAGAGTGAGGGGCTGCAAATGAGAAAATGTGCATTGGCTGTTTAGGAAGGAACTTGTGTCTCTAGCAGATTCCTGTCTCTCCCTGGCAGGCAGAGTCCTTGCTGATTTTTACAAGAAGGTCTTATGTTGGCACCTTTCCCCAGCTCTGTTGCTCTGGGCTGGGAAACCCAGTATGAAATTGATACTTCACGTTTCTCAGGGGCAACCCCTACAATCTGGAATATTGCTCCAGAATCTTAGCTACTGCCAGTGGGAGCGGGGTCACTCTTTCTGCACCTCTGCCCCTTCCTACCGGTCTTGGTGTGGATTCTTCTGTGAATCCTTGGTTTTAAGACTTCTCTATTCAGCTAATCTTCAGTTGGTTATTCAGGTTGGTTGTTCTATATTTTAGACATAATTCCAGTTTGGTCTGGGGAGGAGGTGACTGTAACATATACCTAGTTCACTGCCATTGGATTTCCCCATTCACACTGTTTGCTTCATTACTATTGTTTTATTCATTTCCTGCCATGTCTAAAATTAATTCCTGAAATTAATAATTTTATCCAGAAACATCTTAGAAGAATTTGGAAGACAAAAAAATTGAAGGGCATGGTTTAGTATTCTAAGGTTGGCTCAGAAGTTTTGTTATAGCAAACCAATCATATGACTTAGGCTGAAGTACAGCAAAAGGGTATCACTTGTTTCAGAGTCATTTAAATAATTAGCTGAGGCTGAAATAAAAATAAAAAACCATATGTTAAAGTTATAATTTGTGGAGTTATAGTGAAGCAAATGAGTTATAAACCAAATAGATCATGGAATAAATATTAAGTTCTGGAACAGAAAACTAGAAAAATGACATTCAAAATTGGCAGAGAGAATAACACTTCCAGTTCTGAAACACATCTGAACAGATAATAAAATCTAATTTGACTGTTTGACACATGGTGGTTCAAACTGACCATTGCCAGATAATTTGGTTAATTGAGTCTCTAAGAAAGAATGTGGTTGATCATATACTATTTCTTGATTTGGAGAGAATGATTTCACCTTAGAAATATTGGCTGTTGGTGGGGTACACGTCAACTCTTCCTCAGAGGTCATTTCAAATTATTTTAATGTTTAATTTTATTTTATAGGGTCAGCACTTCTCTTTTTTATTTTGTCACTTTATGTTAAATATGTATATATATATATATATATATATATATATATGCTATCAAGTGAGTGTAATACTTCTCTGAATGAAAGCTGACTTATCCTTTCCCCCTTAAGTGCAGTAAAAGACATATCCTAATCAGTGTCTGCTGAGGCATCTCATCGTAGCTGGGAAATCAGGACCTGTGGATTAGCAGCTCTGCCAATGTGCAAAGAAGAAAAGAGCTAAAACATTTTCTGTATTAGTACATGTCTTTAGGTATTCAGAGAAACCATTAAACTGTATAGTTAATTGTTTGTTCAATATCAGGATTTAAAGAGAAAAAAGCAAATAATATTTTGAAAATGGATGGATATATTATTTTGCCAGAAGAAAATGATCAATATTCTTTAGAGTTTTCCACCAGACAATTAATGGCTTTATTAGAGATATTCCTCGAGCAGGCATGTGCTTTGCAACATAGCTAAATCCATTACAGAATTGGAGGCAAGATCAGAGCCACAATACCAAAGAACGGAATACAGATCAGGCATTACCCAAATACTCAGCTTTAAGGTTTGTCAGTGGCTAAGTTACAGGGATTATCAATCTTCTTCAGGGAAATTACATGAAATGTTCCTCAGCAATCTACTCTATGATATATAGACGTTCAGTAATTTCTTTCTGTAGCTTGTAAAAATGGAAGAATTTCTTGAAAATTCATGCATACTACTTGCCATTTTACTTTGATTCATTTAATGAAATCCTAATTCTAGTATTCTTAACAAAACACTCTGTACTGTTTTTATGGTCCTGCAAGTACATCTTCAATTTAAAATATTTTTGTTTTAGAAAGGACGGGGTTTGGAACCTAGGAGAGTTAAATTACAGATATACTAAAGCCTTCTTAATCATAGTCAGTTCTGTATTTGCCAGTTTAATATGTTAGAATTTAAGAAGGTTTAAGTTAGATTCAAAGCAAGCAGGTTTTCAGACAGTCTATCTTTTGAATGTTGATTTTTAGATATTTTGTGAACCTTCCAACTGTTTTTTAGGAAGTTAGCATTCCATACCTTTCATAAATATAACTGTTACATTAAAAAAGATCCCTTATTCCAATCTGAAGAGGAGGGGAGAAATCAGACGTGGATAAGACACAGGAATCAGGGAGGAGAGTTCAGTTACCAAAGCCCAGGAAGCAACATCACAGCACCCAGCAGAGGAAATGTCATGGACTCGGTTGCTGCTGTACATCCTGCTCCCGTTGTGTCTAAGGGATTACCACCGTCTGTTTGATGGATTTGCTTTACATCGCTGAGGTTCATCTCATCTGGCATCCCTGCAGAGGCAAATAAGAAAACAGAGGATGATGCATAACCACCTTTGCTGTGTGTCTAGAACAGCTCTTCAACACAAGTATGGACACCGGTGGTTTTTTTTATAGTATTCTCTGTGTTCACTTAACTCTAAAGGATGAATGTGATCCAGGTATGTCTGCTTTCCTTAGATTGGAGAGTCCAGGCCCTTGAATGGAAGTTCTCAGAAATGTAAGAGCAAAGTGCAATGCTTTTTTTTTCTCCAGGCTTCTTAAAGTATCTGCAGTATTTCCCTAATGTCATTGAGTGGTATAAAAGTAAAGAAACTTAATTAAAATGTCACAAGCAACAGCATCATTGTTTGTCTCAGAGATAGAACAACTGTAGTAATTATGTGAAACTTTCTGTTGAAAATAAAACAATAGAAGGATAAATAATTAAATAGGACTTTTTTTACAGTGCCCTTACTGGAAATATATCAAAGAATAATAACTAATATTCAATGATATCTTTTGTACACACATACAGCTTTGGGGATGGAAGTGTAGACATCTGTCAACAGATCAAAGAATTAGTTGACAAGCTGACTTGGAGATCAAAGTCTGAGGTGAAGTGTTTGATTAAAAAAAAAATTGGGCCCTGGCTGGTGTATCTCAGTGGATTGAGCACAGGCCTGTGAAGCAAAGGGTTGCTGGTTCGATTCCCAGTCAGGGCACATGCCTGGGTTGCAGGCCAGATCCCCAGTGGGGGGAGCTTGAGAGGCAATCACACGTCGATGTTCCTCTTCCACTCTTTCTCCTTCCCTTCCCCTCTGTCTAAAAATAAGTAAATAAATAAATGGAAATTGGGCAATATTCACCACCCTTTAGTCACCCTGTTTTTGACTTCTCTGTGTTATCCGACTTGACAAGCTGAGAAGGAGACCAGCCCCTAGATTACTGGGGATGAAATAATTATCTTCTTTAAAAAGTTTACTATAATATACCTACAGAATGAGTAACTTATCACTTACTATCTAGTGACACCAATGTTCCTAGACCATGTGACTCTGAAATACCTCAAGGCATGTCACTATCAGTCACTATTAAGTTTAAATTCAATGTCGCTACAGCCACAAATATTGACATTGTGATTATGGTGACAGTGAAAAGAAACATGTAAAGAAAAGTAAATATTTATGTAATTAGGTCAGTGCATATACATAATTCAGAAGATAAGCTCTGCTGTGTTCTGAGCATTAAAACCAAGTGTTGCTCTACTGATCTGCCCTATTGATTTTTACAGTCTGAGTTCTTGTGTTATTATTCATTGTTTGGGTACTTGTTTTGCCCTTCTGTGTTATTAGGCAATATGAATAAACTAGTGATTCATTTTTTATAGGGACTGGAGTAGAGTGTAAATATTTTAGTGATTGTTTACACTTCTTGTTATGGTAGAACTTAACAAGGAGTTATGAGGACTCTAGGCAATTAAACACTTTTTCCATGATTACTATATAAATTTGAGCTTTAAGGGATTTATTTTTTTCTTTTTTAAAGCACTGTAAAGGGCTGCCTGGATTGTATTCATGAATACATTTTTTAACACCTCTCTGATCTGGTATTTCTCTCCTTCATTCACGAGCCAGGTGCTGGTCTGGGTGATATCATCGCGAGTAATAATGTGTAAATAGTAAGATGGTAAGTCTTATGCCTGGAAGTTAGGCGATGCCAGGAACGCTATCCCACTTTCCATCTGATGCCATTTTAATGCCTCAGGGAAAGATGTTACTAATAAATAGATACAATAGTGCTGAGGGGGGTGGTCTCTGAGGTAAGATCTACGTGAAAAGGACTGATGACCCCTTCAAGAGCCTGAAGTCAGGGCTGCAGGTTTGAATCAAATCACAGCCTGGCCTTGACATCTTTAAATCTTAGCATTCTGGCAAGGGGAGCCCCACAGTCATTTGAGGCAAGATTGTTTCCTTAAAGGAATTTAATTAACTAAGTTTCTAAATTATACCAAACCTTAACAAAAGACTCAAAAAGGAAAAATTAGTTTGGGAATTTAGTCAATTAACAAATTAAGCAAAAACAAATGAATCTAGGAAAAATCTTTTCTAGGCATAATAGCCAATCAATTCACATTTCTGCCTGTGGCGGTAGGGGAACATAGTGACGCTATTACAAAGTTAATGTCATATTAAATCTTGGGGCATGCCTGATGGTTGGTGCAAAGAGGTATATAAAAGGAATGTAACGTGGCAAGGGAAGGTTCCACAAAGGAAGCGTAGGTATGGATTCATTTACTTGGCTATACCGACGCAGCACTTGCTACAATGCTAATACTGTCCTAAGTACTGCACAAACATTAACTTGTTTAATTCTCACAACAGTTCCATGAAGTAGGCATGGAGGTAAGTAATGTGAACAGTGGAGGTAGGCACCAAATCTAGTCTAGACCCAGCCCATGGTGTGGTCACCTGATGTACCGACTCCTAGACCTTGACTGGACACCCAGAAGTCAGTATTTCATTTGGGAGGAAAGAAGGGCAATTGTGTTTGCCCAGATCCTCCTTCCTTGATCTGGAATGGCTGATTATGCTAGTTTTTGTGTATTAATCAAGCAACTGGAAGGATTCAAGGTTGGAATTCCTGTGGATGAGTAAAGGGTGATAGTCGATATGGCTTGATGATTTGGAGAGAAGCAAAGCTTCTTTTGTCATGGATGTACTGGTCTTTTCCTTGAGGCAGGGAGTGTGGGTATTCCTCCCTGGCTGTCAAAATAAATATTTCAAAATGTGTTAGTTTCACTAAACAACAAAGACTATGTTTAAAGACAATTTGTTTTCTGTATTTTTAATCCTCACTTAAGGATATATTTATTAATTTAAGAGAGAGAGAGAGAGAAACATTGATATGACAGAGAAACATTCATTGATTGTCTCCTGTGTGTGGCTGGACCTGGGATAGAACCTGCAACCTAGGTATGTGCCCTGACTGGTGATCAAACCAACAACCCTTTGGTGCATGGGATGATGCTCCAGCCAACTGAGCTACCCAGCCAGGGCTGATTTCTTTTCTTTTTTTTTTTTTTAATAAGGAAAATTACATGGGCAAGTGCTTGTTAATTTGTCCCTCATTCATAAAATTTACTCACTTGTGACTTTGTCAGGTATTGTGCTGGAGACTAAATATATACTATGCAGTAATAAGCTTTTTTTTTCATGCTTTAAAAACAACCAACCGAACAAAAAACAAACCAAAAATACCTACAGATGTCTTTCCCATCAATGGTGAAAGCATAGAGTAGATTTAAATGTCAGGAGCTAGACTAAAGGTCATTATTTGAATTCAATAAAGTCAAAATAATTTACCTCTAAAAATTATTGGTTTCAAGGTAGCTATAATCATGACAACACAGAAAATGGCTATTGTATGCTTTTAATGAATCTCATTGAATGGATACATTGAATAACAACTGTCATTCCCACAACAGTAGGATGTGTTATGAACACGTATTTTACTTTTCCTCATTCTATAGGTTAAAAACAGGTGCAGAAGAAGTAGTTTACTCTAGGTAACATCTAGTGGCTGAATCCAAGGTACGTCCTGTCGATGTAGTTCTCTCTGAGTCCAGAATCATGCTTATTTCCACAACACCATCAAAACATTAAATTTTCAGTCAAACTCTGCTCTGCCACAGAGTGTCTGGAAGACTTTGGACATGACCCCCGTTGCAAAGAACTTTAAAATGAGAGCATTTTCAGTGAGAGAAGAATCAGTCAAAACACAGCCCTGGCTAATTGCTTAAATAAATATTTGAATTAATAATCTAGATTTTTATTTCACAGAATCTTTAAAGTAAGTGACTAATGGGACCCAAGATTTAAGTATAAATAATGAGGAGGCAGAAAATATATATCAGTTGACATTTTTATTTATGTTTAGGTGGAGGAAAGCATATTGATTTTTTTAGGCAGAATCTATAAAACATGATTAGTAGTTTTAACTTCATAAAAAATAACTTCTGTATAATGTGGAACATCATTTAAGAAATAAGGGAATAAATCAAAAATGGAGAAAATAATTCAGTATATATTGCAGCAAAAACAACAGCATCTTTAACATAGAAAGAGTTCTCATAATCTATATGTAAATGATACACCCTGATAGAAAAACTGTGAAAGGAAATAAATGAAAATTTGCAAGAAAATTTATATAAAAATTGAAAGTCTTCTTTACTGGAAAGCTAATAAATACAATTTTTCACATGATGAACTGGCATTATTTCATGTCCTGTCGGCAGAGGTGGGGCAGGGAGCAGATGATAGATCGCTAGTTCTGGCAAGGACAGAAACCTTTTTTAAGGCAGTTGGCCAAAATATATAAAACTGTTTAAAATGTATGTTTACCTAGACCCAAGAATTATACTTTTATGAAGCAATAATATGGGATCAAGGAAACATGTACGTATATATTCACAAATTATTAACCTGTGCATTGTTAGTGAAAAATCATAGCCATTAAATGTCCATTAGTAGGGAGTTAAGCAACCCACTTATTTATTTATTCCTAAAAATAGATTTACTTGGCAAGGAAACCTAGGCAGGAGTCTGCAGACCATTTTTTAAAAGTTTATTGGTGTGACATTTGTTAATAAAATTATATAGGTTTCAGGCGTACAATGCTATAATACATCACCTGTATATTGTATTGTGTATACACCACTCCCAAAGCAACTCTCCTTCCATCACCACACTGGGGCCCCTCCATGAGATTTTCTTTCTTCTTAATCCCTTCACCTTCTTCAGCCAGCCCATCTCTGACAGCTTTGCATGTTCTCAGTATTTATGTGTCTGTTTCGGCTTTTTCTACATCCTTGCCAACACTCGTTTGTTCATTTATTGATGACAGCCATTTTGACAGGTGTGAGGTCATATCTCATTGTGCTTTTCATTTTCATTTTTTAAATTTATTTTTATTGTTTTTCAAGTGAAGTTGTTTCCATTTTCCCCATCCCCTTCTCTCTGTCCCACCCACTC